ACATCATCAATAAAAATGGAACGAAAATTAGGTAAAAATATCACTGTATTTTGATATTCTAATTGACTAATTGACTGAAAATAATAAAAAAAAAAATGGCTGAAAATGAATCTAATATTACTAATTGACTGAAAATATAAAAGGATAACTAATTGAGTGATATGATATTCTACCATTATATATTTTCACCCAAGTAACCCGTCTTGATGGATTGAAAGTGTTAGCTCTAGACGAAGATAAACAAGATTGTGTTGCCACTACCAATGTCGTCTACAAAGAGGTTTCAATAATGTGTAAATATAATTGGTGATATTAAGTTTTTTTTTTAAATGAAAAAATTGCTATATATCTAGACAAAATATATATATATATATATATATATATATATATATATATATATATATATATATATATATATCTTCCATACAAATGAAGAAGGATGGCAATTCATTTCTATAACTGAGTTGTTAGAGAACGAACACATTTGCCTAATTTATGAAAATACTAAACAATGATAAATAAAATCTTCAAAGTTATAGCACCGCATGCGTACATCTAGATATTAGCTATTAATTTGAGCAATTATTTGCACAAATTCAAGCAATGATAACATCAAAATATATAAACGATCCAAACTATATCTTTAATTGTACTATATAATATTTGATGTTCTAATTTAAATAATTATATATCGATTCATATATTCTTAATATATTACAACAAATCCATTCCGTGCATCGCACGGGTGCAAATACTAGTATTAACTAATAATTTTTATGCGAGATGTGTACAAATACGTGTCTAATATAAATCCTTTATATTAAGATTTTATTTATTTAGATTTTAGATAGTTATATTATTATAATTATAAATAATAATAATAATAATGTAAAATATTTTTATAAATTTAATATTTATATTATAATTATAAATAATAATAATAATAATGTAAAATATTTTTATAAATTTAATATTTATATTTTAAGAAATAACTAACATATAACTTCAATATATATATTAACATTTTTGCCCATAAGTCAATATTTTTTTTTTATTATTACAAAGGAATGGGGATACCCATACAATCTACGCCTACATTAAAGCTCACAACCTAGACCTCCCATATAGGGGAACAATCCGATACCAGTGGACTACAAGTCACTTGGTTATTTGGATTGATATATAAATATATGGTTTGGATCGATTATGTTTTCTGATGTTATCCTTACTTGAATCCGAACAAATAATTTGCTGAATTAATAGCTAATGTGTAGATGGACGCATCCGGTACTGAAACTTTGGAAATTTTATATGTAGTGTTTAGGATTTTTACATATTGGGCAAATGTGCTCGTTCTCTAACAACTCAGTTATAGAAATCAATTGTCATCCTAATTCATTTGTATGGAAGATATATTCGTTGTAAAGATATATTTATTATATCAACTCAATATTTAAACATGTGTTTGGGAAAATCGGATTCATCTTGATTCGTCACGCCAATCATATTCAACTCAGTTGTTGTTGTTGTTGTTGAAGAAGAAGATAAGAAAATATATGATGGATGCATGTGCATGGTAACAATAGTGAAAAAAATAAAACAGAAGTTATAATGGTAGGGATATATTTATCCAAAATATTGTATAGTACAACTCTTATAGCATAATGTATAAAAAGATGTTATAGAAAAACAAACATAAATGAATGGTATAATCTCCATTCACACTTATTAGTTTTTAAATTTAGATATATGCAGGTTCAACTCTCAGACACATCAACTAGTAGTAACTTAAAATAAGTTCATAAGTTTTATTTTATTAGCAGTCATATGGTGTAAAGTTCGAAGCATACCAAATACCAAAAAAAAGAAAGAAAAATAACGATACAAAAACACATCATGTGAACCATAGTCTTTAACAAATAGCATAAGTTCCAGGCCCTCGCAAATTTATATCATTAAATTATAAAGTCTTTAACAATATCTAACAATAATAAAACACAATGGTATTCTTAATTTCTTATATATCACACGACCTACTTATATAATAAACTAATTAATAAGTAACAAATAATACAATTATTTAATCATTATTACTCGCTAACAATTGCTAATCCTAAATACCCTGATACAACCACCACACTACTATTTTGTAATCTAGTTTTCCCTATCCTCCAAGGTAATTGAAGGCGGCATTATATTGAATTTGACTTTCAAATGTTATGAACAACTCAACACGGAAACTCTTCAATATTTGGTCTCCATCTACCCATCCTCACATTTTTTTTCTTCAGACTAAACAACCATTTTTTTTTAATAAACAATAAATGGGTTAGGTGTTTGGGTTCCTACCTATAATCTTCCAAGTTGATAAATTATGTAATATGATTAAACCTGCAATTATTATTTAAGTATGTGCAAATACCCTTATAATCTTATTGATTTCAATAATATAGATTATTGAGAACATATATGCATATTTGCTTCGTTATATATTGGTCATGGTAGATGTTGTTTGATTGCGACATTGCACCTATATTTTATATTGTAATATTTTACGTTGTATTTATTTTATTATTTGAAATTGTAAGAGCATTAAAAAAAAAACATAAAATAGAGATAAATGAATATAGAATGTACTATATGTGGCATTGTGATGTAACTCCTTTAGCTGCATACGGCATTTTCCTTAGAGATTAATATTTGAAAAGGTAAAATTTAAGAATATATTGCAACTGTACTTTTGAAATATTATAACAATTTATAAAGGTTGGTAAACTGGGTCGCTTTATATGAACTTGAATTAGTTTTACAGTGGTGGGAGGCGCTCTATTTGAATTCAAATTAATCTTATAATTGTGGAATATTGAATGTTATATTAAAAAAATTATAATAAATTATTATTATTAGTTGTTGCATTTACATTTTATTCGTTATATTGTTCTAATAAAATTGGAAGAAAATAAATAAAGGAAGTTGTTCCAACAGATGGAAATGTGTGTGAGATTCTATTAGAGCATATCTTTTTGACTAACAAAAAAGAAACAGAGAAAAGTGATGATCAAATTTTGTTAGTAACAGCTGGATGATGAAGTGATTAATTAGCAAGTCAATAAATCATTAGCAATTATAATTCTCCCCAACACCCATGAGATTCAAATTTTTATTTTTTTGTATTTATTTTTATTTTTGTTTGTGAGGTACGAAAAATAAATAAATAAAAATTGTCATTTTGTATTGATGATGATGTTTCATCATAAAAATGTCGGTATGCTTGAGTATAATCTGAAATTCTGAATAATATTATGTGGTCAAAGTAGATTGATGCAATTAAATTAATGATAGTATAAGCAAAATAATAGTCTTTTCACATAATTGGATATGGATTAAGAGAAAATGTCAATTTTAGTCATCTAATTATGTCTAAAATATAGATTTAGCCCCTCACTTATTTGTGGTGTAAATTTAGTCATTTATTAAGGAGTTAAGTCCGAATTTGGTCCTCTGACTAATCTCAAATTTAGTCCTTTGATTTTTAAAATCACTAGATGTAGTTCTTTAAGTATCATCTTTTCGAATTAAGTTAATATCAATTGGGATCCTTCGACTATTGTGATTCACTTAAAAAAGTTCTTTGTTTAATTTAGTCTCTTAACTACTAAATTGTTACCTTGATAGGTCCTCTATTAGGTTTGTTGTTAGTTGTCCATCAAATCCACGGGTAAAATTGTCTTTTCAAGCAAAAAAATTAAATAGATAACCATTTAAAGTAAATTGCAATAGTCAATAGACCCCATCTGGCATTTACTCTTTATATTTTTAATATTTTGCACGATTCTCACACATTTTATATCCTATATTTTTTATTAAAAAAATATCTTTTTTTTTTTTTTTGTAAAATATTTCATGTCATGCTTCCTTGCTACCTAGATGATAAACAATAGTGTTGGTCTCAAATAAGTAGGATAAATCAAAACATAAAACAAAATAATGAGATCCAATTTTAAGAAATAATCTCAACAACGGTGTATAACAAAAATTCTAGCCGTGTGCGAGATATACTCTCAACTGATCTGTTATCTCCCACGAGTGTTATAGCATCAAAAGAAGAGTTTTTTCATGGAGAGGAAAAAATATAATTTATTAGCACTAATGGCATTCAGCTTTTCAAACTCATTTTGCATCCCTACAAGCGAAAGGAACATCTATGCTCCACAATTCAAACTACTCCAAAAAAAAAAAAAAAATCTATATATACTAGTACAATTGTACAAACTCACATCATTCTTACAATCTTACACTTCTATACTTTATCCATCACTCGATATTTGATCATTTAACCATCCATTTGAAATGACAATAAAAGTGTCATCACACTACATAGTTGACATCAAAATTGTAAATCTAATCCTTTATTAAATGTTATATTAGTGACAAAAATAATAATCAAAAAATCAAATCCACCACTTCCTTTAAAAAAAAAAAAAAACAATTCACCACATTGATAATAATTTAAATCTAATTTACGTTTCAAATAAATGAAAGACTAAAGCAACATTTTAGTCATAAAAGTTAATTTTCCCCATAATAATTAACTAACAAATTATAAGTGACTTAATTATTGTTTTCTTTAAGGGAAATAGTTTAATAATCAGAAATCATAAATTCATAAGCAGCGGCAGCCCATGAATCAGGTGGACTAGTTGGGCTCTGTACTGGCCCATGTTAACTTTATGGGCTGGGCTGTAGAGATGGAACGGCGATCAGTTTGGCAGGGCGCCGCCCATATTGATTTCTCGAAATGCATGCCAACAGAAAGAAACAGAAGAGTTTATTGCTTCTATGGATGATTGAATGAATCCGAGAAGATGAAGAGCGCATCAAAAGATTCAATGAAACTCATCCAAAAATGAATATACATCCAAGTTTCAAATCAAAATAACCAACTCTTATCTAATTTCTTTTATGTTTTTAATATTTTTTTTTAGATTTTCTAGATTCGGTTACGTATGGACTGGAGGGATAGCGGTCACCGCAAGGCTAAAAATAAACGAATTTGAACACTTGCTCCCACCGCCGCCGCTGCGGGCGTCAGTTATCAGCGAGCCGCCGCTCGCCATTGCCGATTGAGGATCCTCCAATGCAGCGGCGGTCGGATCATTGCCCCCGCCAGCATCGCTGCCGTCACAAACTGCACCATCATCATCACCATTGCCACCGCCATCGATTTGATTATGATCGCCGCCGGGAATTTCTCTCTCCTCCGCCGCGGCCTCATCCGGCTCGTTCGCAAACGGTTCTCCGCCGACGAAGACATCCAGCGCTACTAGGCGGAGGCGGAGGCGGCCGTCGGAGCGGTCCGCCTCAAAGTACTCGTGCCGCTCGGTTTTCTCTCCAGTAATGATCAGCCTTCCGTCCTCCGTATAACTCCGCTTCAAAACCCACGGCATTCTCGAAGCCGGCGAGTTCCCCGTCCTGGCTAGCCAAGGTAATGGCGGGGGAAACTCCTTCGCTTTCATCGCTCCCTTCTTCTCCTCCCTCTTCCCATCGCCACGAACTCGGCTACTCATTCCCGACTCCATATCCGCCTCAACCGAATCAAAACAGCTCTCCACACCAACGTACTCACCCAACTCACCACAATGCATTCACAAAATCTGGATTTATAGACGCGGGAAAAGGTAGATCGATCCAAGAAAGTGAAAATTATAGAGCGAAGGAGGGTATAGGTGGTTGCATGGCATGAGCATATGTGGAAGAAGAAAAGGGTTTTAATAGGTAAAACGTATGGAGAAACCGAGGGGAGAAGAATATATTGAAGAAAGGGAACTGAAAGGGCGAAGAGTGGCAGTGCCAGCTAAGTGTACGCTCATACAATCACCTGGGATTGGGTGAATCTTCTTTTGGATGAACGTTTGGGAATTGGGATTTTAATTTCTTCATTCATTCATTTTTCACCCGGTAGATTAGGCCAAGTTTTAATGTGCCACAATGGATATATATGCCCACATTTTCCAACTTAACTGCGTAATATACACTAAAACTAATTTATCCGTTTCCCAATTCCGCTCCATTTAAAATATCTGCACATCTTTATCCTATTAATTAACCAACTTCCAACCAAAGTCAAAAAGTCAAACTCAAAATCGAGACTTACAAATCATCCTATTAACCGGGTCTAGTAGTATAAATGAGCCGAATAGCTTGAGAACGCCTCGGTCAAAGTTCCACTCGAGCTCGAGCTTGCCTATTGTTTATCAAGCTCAAGCTCGGTCAAATTCGACTTGCCTCGTTTACACCCCTAACCGGGTCAAGAATTCAAATCGAAGTCAAATCAGAGATCTAAACTCAAGAACTCATAGCCTTGTATATATATCTATACACATATATCATATTAACCAAATGATCAAGAGTTCAAACTCAAAACTAACAAATCAAACCCTCGTATATCCAACAATGCACCTCCCAAGTGTTACGTTAATTGTATATACGTTTCACGACGATCTAAAACAAAACTTATTATATATTTAAGGTAAAACGGTCTTAAACAAGACTTATTTATTGTAAATTAGTCAAGTATAGATTTTTGAGTATCCTATACCTTACTGAGAATAACAGAACAAATGAAAAACATACTTCTGTTTGAGCTATTATCATGTCACAAACTCTAAATAAATAATAATAATAATAATAATAATAATAATAATAATAATAATAATAATAATAATAATAATAATAATAAAAAGATTAGATGAAAGTATTTAATATATCCTCCCCTGCTCATCTATAAAGTGATCTCAAATAAAAAGGCAAAAAGAAGGGCTCCATCACAAAATTCTCAACACCATAAAACATAACTCCAGTAGCTCTCACTGCTCTACAGGAAGAGACTTGATGATATCAGAATCACCTGAAACATCAATGGCAGCATCAATAAGCACATCTAATACTCTGCTTTTGCTAGCTAAGAAATGGTACTAGATTACAACAAATGAGACTTCCTAAAAGAGTTATCTGGATCAATAATGCTAAGACAAGAGACCCAGAAATATTTGCCGCAAGCTAAGCTGTCCCCAGATCAACATTGTCTGCACATATAAACAACATGAGGACACAAGGAAGGCAGGGTAACAGGAATGTAGATGAACCAAGTAATATACAAGTTGCAACATGTGAAAGACACAATGAAGTAGAGAGCATAAATACCCAGCATTAAAGCTTTTTCAACAACAAAATATCCAATACCAATAAGTAAAAAAGAACGTTTATTCCTTCTATGCAGACTGGATGGCAATACACAACTACCATTCTCGTTTATGCTTACAAATCCTCGAGAGACCACCAAAGGGTTTCGACCTGACTCTTTTTGCTGATGTTGTGGCCGTGATTATGCCCAGATTTCTATAGTCTTTGCCTTTACATTTAACATTCCCCTATTCCCCCATGTATATATATATTTTTTATAAATAAGGATGCTTATTCCAGAAGACATCCACTAAGCAAAGATGTATTCCACGAACTACTTATCCAACCAGAATCAAGTTCTTTAAATGCTAATAATTCAACAAAACCCAATAAACTTCAGGCTTAAACATAGGCAGCATATTACAAGTGCTGATCTTTATCAAAGCTCAAGTATAAAGAAATTAGTAGATATTAATATATTAATATATTATAAATTTTATGTCAGCATTATAGCCCCCACCCTGATTAACATGGCATGCATTACAGAGGCCATTCATGATTCATCACCCAAATTCCAGTTAACATAAGGTAATGATCAGCAACTCACTTCAATTATAATGATGAACCTCAACCTTGGCAAGCATGGCATAATACTCGATCTCAGACTTCCTCAATGGCGGGCAGTTATTGGAAATCAGTATCAGCTTGCATGAAAATTTTCATTTTCTCTTACTAATTCCAAAATATCAACAAGGAAAAAAGGTTACCATTTTCAGAATACAAAAATCAACAAAAGGAACAAGAAAACGGGGAGAAAGGGCGGCCACCTTTGGAGTTCCTTAGGGTCTTGTAGCCCAGAGTGTACTTTCCGCTCTCTTCATCACCAAAGCCAGCCTATTGTTTATGCTCTCATGGGTCTTCTTCTGCAAATTTCGCATTAATTACATTCAAGAAAAAATGCCATATATACAGAATAAGAGAGAGAGGGGATGGATAGGTGTGATAAACAAAGAGATTGAGCTCACCGTCTTCTAGCCGGAGGTCACCATTGTCGATGAATCCGATGATGAAGAATATGCGACTATCGACCAGATAGCGGTAGGGTTTTGGGGTTTGATGTCTAGTCTAGTGACTCGTCTAATCGAGACAAATGAGGTGATTGCATTGCAATGTCATTCCTTTCCGTTAATGTGAAACGGGTTTGACCGTTTTTATTAAGTTCTTCTCAAATCATGAATCTTCAATTTAAAAAAAAAAAAAAAAATCACACTCTAAGTCTACATTGCATATGAGATAATATAAATCATGATAATATTTATTAAGTGAAAAAGAGATTGCAGTTATTTATCTGAAATCTGAATGTGTGTAGTTTTAGATAAGTTTTATTTTCATATTTTTATAATTTATTTACATTATTACAATTTAAATTCGCTTATATAATAATAATAATAATAATATGAGCTTTCTACGTTATGAGTTTTATAAAATGCATTCATGTGTACTAACTCTTTAACTACACCGCTATACAAATAAAACTGAGAGGTGATGCCATGAACTTGGTTTCCCCAACTGGCATTTCATCTGTTGATTGGATTGAAAGGTCATTGGTCGCACAACAACAGCCTCTGACATGGTACAAGGTATGCAATTTAGCATCAACATATTTTTGCAATTGAGAATGAGTTGTGTCACATTGACATTTGATTTATTGGAAAAACTAATAGTGTACAATTAGACGATTCAAAAACACACTTATCGACGACGGTGTTTATAAATATGAAAATTGAAGTCACTCCGCACTAACTTGATCTTGCGGGGCTATTTCAATGAGCCAAGTGGAAATGAGCCCTTGGCATTGGACATGGGTAGTATGGGAAAAAGCCAAGCGTGGATCAACAGGCAAAGCATTGATATATATTGGATGATCCATGCAACTGGAGATTGCAGCCCTTCTGTCCTTGTACATATGAAGGGACATACATATCGCCAAAGTGTCAACTTGGTTGCGAACAACCTACTCAACGATGGTAAAAATATTGGAATACACTAACCTTGGACTTCATTGATAAAGGACACACAATCAAGTTGTTGAATGTCTTAAAATCGTGAGTTGATGCATGTACTTTTTAAAATTTTAAAAGTTCATGGGCTTAATTGATTTCTTGTGTAATGTTTAGAGGCCCGTTTGACTATTTTACTATATTTTTATATTTTACTATATTTTATATCTAAGTTTGTCACAAACGGCCAACACTAACAAATGGACATAGTCATTAGTAATTTAATTAAGGTAAATGTTACACACTCCAAAATTATCACTTCTTATTAGTTATATTTATTATAAATTTAATTATCATGAATTACTAATGAATTAACTAATCGTACATATGAAAAACAAAGGTCAATGGTTCGATCCTTGGCTTTGGGTAGGAGCTGCCTTAAATCTCTAGGTCAATTATCCCATCCAAAAGAGGTGTCTACAATCCAGCGACGATATTAGTCATTGTGTCCGACTGTGAAAACTCTGGTTATAATATATATATATATATATATATATATATATATATATATATATATTATCAAGTATCTTAACCAATATCAATATAACCAAATTTTCGTAAAAGATATTTTAAGATGCATAATTATGATTTGTGGCATAATTTTTTATAAAATCAATAATAGTTTTTAGAGATTTTCCTGTGATAGTACTCAAGCATAATTTTTGCAACAAAATTCTATAAATTGGTGTGATCTATATTTCCTTTTGTTGTCACTTCTGCAGTAAATTAATTATTGAGTGCACATTAAAAAATAAAATCAAATCCTCCTTCTCCAAAAAGACAATGATAATAGACATAGTTTCTCATTTGTGTTCAATATGTACAATAAATTAGGTGTACCGTTTAATCAATGCCCAATGCGTGATTTTAATTAATTCATAAACTAATTGCAATGCAACAACGATGAAATTATATCTAACCAAACAGGCTGTGAATTACAATTCATTGGAGTACCCCGTGAATTGCAATTCAACAAAACGAGGAAATTACAATTTTGCTTCAAACAAAACATTGTAATTGGAATGACCAAAAAATATAGTGAAATTGCAATGCAGTTCATGTCTACCAAACAATCCATTATTGTTTGGCTCAATTATTAAAAAAAAAAAAACACTTAGAAAAGAGACTATAAGTTTGCACTTTGCAATAGTCTTAATGTTTATTATCTGGAATAGTGTGATCCGGCCGAACTAAATAAACCGTGAACATAAAAACTTATTAATTTTGTTGGGTTATGACATGACTTATATTTGTGTGTGTATATATATTTTTTGACCCAAAATATTCCTATTATAATAATAAATATAAATAAATGAAAGACATTAGAAAAAAAAGGAATTATGTTTTAGAAGAAAAATTGAGCTATTAGAAATTTAAAAATAAATAATTTTTAAATTTCCTCAACGGGAGGGAGTCAGTCCATTTATTTTATTTTAGTTTTAAAATAACTTATAAAAGTCTTTGAGAAAATAACACACATAATTTTGTGAGTCAAAATGTTTAAATAAAGGACTGACCGACTGACTTTATTTATTTTGAAGATTTCAATTTTTAAACAGCACAATTTATTTTTGCCGTTGTAATTTTTTTGCCGTTGGAGTTTATGGTTTCCTATTTCTAAAGCAGTTTAGGTTTCAATTTTTTTTGTTGTTTTTTCGGCGTTCTCTCCGGCTCAAGCATTCTCTCCCAGTCTCCGTACTCAGAAAAAACACTCTCTCCCAGTCCGTCGCCAATCCGCCTTCCGCCGGAAACGGTACGTCGAATTTCAGGTTAATGCCCGCAAAATTTGTTTGCCCTTGGATTTAGGTTTTCCTATTTCAAAGCAATTTAAATTTCCTATTTCTTTGTTTTTTCGGCGTTCACTCCCACCCCTCAACATTCTCTCCGTCTCAAACACTCTATACCGCGCCAATCCGCCTTCCGCCGGAAACGGGGACTGGTGGACGTCGAATTTGAGGTTAATGCCTGCCCCTAAAGTAGGATTTGGAGGGTAAAAATGTTGCAGCCATGAAGCTATGATTGGGGAGGCAAAGTCACTGATTTATTCCATTGTAAGTTGCTCTCTCTTGTGTGATTATCTTTCTGAGACATATGAATGCGTTTGTGGAAAAAAAGATCAAAAAGAGAAGGGAAAAGGTAAAGTAGACTCATTAAAAGATAAGGCCTAAACTACAGTGTAAAGAAAGAAATTACCCACCTTCTGATGGGTAAAATAATTGATGAATTGGCCCAAGAGATTGCCTATACACTGTTCCTCTATTTGCCCAAGATAAGGCATGATTAACTTCTTCTCTATTTGTAATCTATTACAAATTTATTTTATTTTGTCATAATACTTCGTAACAGGTTATATGGCACTTTTACAGTTTTACTAACATGATAGTTCAAGTATTATAGGTTTGTTCTCGATCACTTCTTGTCACAGAGGTTTAATATCATGGCAAGGAGGTTCAACACTGTTAGTGTAAGATGTTAGATCTGCCATCATTCAAGCATTGTCTGGAATAAGGAAAGGTTGAGAAGGATTGGGGTAAGCAGGTAAATTTTGTGGTTTCTTATCTCCCTTCATAATTTATTATTTTCCTGTGTTTATTTCTTCATTCTAGTTGATTGTATGTTTGTATATGATGTTATGCTTTGTATAAATATGTCCCTATGAGATTGTATAATTTGTTCTAGTTTTACGGGTGATTTTTGCAGATTGACAGCAAGATTTTTTGACTCTGGTGACAGTAAAGGTTTAAGCAGAAACAGTACAGGTTATTTATTTATTTAAATTTTCACAGTGTAAGGTGTTAGATCTGCCATCATTCAAGCATTGCCTGGAATAAGGAAAGGTTGAGAAGGATTGGGGTAAGCAGGTAAATTTTGTGGTTTCTTATCTCCCTTCACAATTTATTATTTTCCTGTGTTTATTTCTTCATTCTAGTTGATTGTATGTTTGTATATGATGTTATGCTTTGTATAAATATGTCCCTATGAGATTGTATAATTTGTTCTAGTTTTACGGGTGATTTTTGCAGATTGACAGCAAGATTTTTTGACTCTGGTGACAGTAAAGGTTTAAGCAGAAACAGTACAGGTTATTTATTTATTTAAATTTTCACAGTGTAAGGTGTTAGATCTGCCATCATTCAAGCATTGCCTGGAATAAGGAAAGGTTGAGAAGGATTGGGGTAAGCAGGTAAATTTTGTGGTTTCTTATCTCCCTTCATAATTTATTATTTTCCTCTGTTTATTTCTTCATTCTAGTTGATTGTATATTTGTATATGATGTTATGCTTTGTTTGTTCTAGTTTTACTGGTGATTTTTGCAGATTGACAGCAAGATTTTTTGACTCTGGTGACAATAAAGGTTTAAGCAGAAACAGTACAGGTTATTTATTTATTTAAATTTTTAGTTTTCATTTATCTAACATTGTACTAACTAGAACAGAGTATCCCTAGCTTGTGGTTGAGAAGGATTGGAGTAAGCAGGTAAATGTTGTGGTTTCTTATCCCTCTTTATAAGTTTTTATTTTTTCTGTGTTTGTTTTGGTTTGGGCTGGGAAAGAAGGGGCAGTGGAATAGGTTTAAATACGTGTTCTCTTAAATCCAGTTGATTGTGTATTTGTATATGATGTTATGCTTTATATAATTGATCAGGTTGTATTAAATCCAGTTTATTTATTTTTTCATAATACTTCGTGATGGGGGTTATAATGCATTGTGCACTTTTTCTAACCTGAAAATTCAAGTATTGTAGGTCTGTTCTCGATCACTTCTTGTCACAGAGGTTTAATATCTAGACAAGGAGGTTGAATGTTGTTAATGTAAGAAGTTAGATCGGCCATCATTCAACCAACCATCACATTAGGAAACAGCACTAAACTGTACTGACCAACTACAACAGAGAATCCCTAGCTTGAGGTTGAGAAGGATTGGGGTAAGCAGTTAAATTTTGTGGTTTCTTATCCTTATAGGTTATTATTTTTGTGTGTTTGTTTTGTTTTGGGCTGGGAAAGAAGGGGCAGTGGAATAGGTCACTTAAATAGGTCATAGGTGTTTTCTTAAATCCAGTTGATTGCATATATGTATATGATATTCTGCTTTATATAATTGATCAGCTTGTATTAAAGGCTAAAGTTGGATTTGGATGGTAAAATGTTGCAGCCATGAAGCTATCTATGGTTGGGGGAGGCAGAGTTCACTGGTTTGTTCCATTGTGAGTTGCTCTATCGTGTGGTTAAGTGAAAGATAAAGTGGACTCATTGAAAGATGAAGCCATAAACTGCAGTGTAAAGAAAGAACTTACCCTCCTCATCATGATTAGTTTCTTCTATATTTGTATTCTCTTAATACTCCGTAATGGGGTTATAGTGAACTTTTACAGTTTTACTAACCTGAAAATTCAAGTATTGTGTAGGTCTGTTCTTGATCACTCTTTTCACAGAGGTTTAATATCTTCATGGAGGTTGAACACTGTTAGTGTAAGAAATTATATCTGCCATCAACCATCACACTGGCAACCACCACGTAACAGGGCTGACCTGAGCACCTAACCACAAGGTATCACATTGTCTTTTTAAATGCTTTTGAACATGTTGCTCCGCACTCTTCCAATATAAATTGAATACTCCATTAGCTTTATTAGGGATTTCAATTTCATTTATCTAACAATTTACCGACTAGAACAGAGTATATCCCTAGCTCGAGGATATTCACATCAAGCGTTGTTTGGAATAAGGGAAGGTTGAGAAGGATTGGAGTAAGCAGGTAAATTTTTCGGTTTCTTATCTCCCTTTATAAGTTATTATTTTTTCTGTGTTTGTTTTCGTTTTGGACCGGGAAGAAGTGGTAGTGGAATAGGTCACTTAAGAGGTGTTTTGTTCAATCCAATTGATTGTGTATTTGTATATGATGTTATGATTTACATACATAATTGATCAGGTTGAAATGAAGGTTTAAGTGGTAGGTAAAAATAGAGAGCTTGAGAAACTACAAACTGATAAGAATATAACAGGTAAATGACCTTCTCTCATAATTCTCTAAGATTAATGGTTATTGAAAATATAAATCAACTTGAACATTCCAGACAATCGAACTTCAGGTTAATGCCGCGGCACCCTAAAGTAGGATTTGGAGGGGGTAAAAATGTTGCAGCCATGAATCTATGATTGGGGGAGATAGAGTCACTAGTTTTTGTTCCATTTTGTGAGTTGCTCTCTCTTGTGTGGTTATCTTTTAATTGAGTACACTGTAAATTTTTTTTCCCCCATTTCAGAGACGAATGAATGCATTTGCTGAAAATAAAGCTCAACAAAGAGCAAAAGTGAAAGGAAAAGTGGACTCATGATGAGATAAAGCAATAAACTACAATGTAAAGAAAGAAATTACCCACCTTCTGTCTGGTAAAGTAATTGATTAATTGGCCCCTATACACTGTTCCTCTTCATGATTAACTTCTCTATTTGTATTCTCTTACAAATTTATTTATTTTTTCATAATACTTCGTGATGGGGGTTATAGTGCATTGTGCACTTTTTCGAACCTGAAAATTCAAGTAGTGTAGGTCTGTTCTCGATCACTTCTTGTCACAGAGGTTTAATATCTAGAAAAGGAGGTTGAATGTTGCTAGTGTAAGAAGTTTGATCGGCCATCATTCAACCAACCATTACATTTGGAACCAGCACTAAACTGTACTGACCAACTACAACAGAGAATCCCTAGCTTGAGGTTGAGAAGGATTGGGGTAAGCAGTTAAATGTTGTGGTTTCTTATCCTGCTTTATAAGTTATTATTTTTCTGTGTTTGTTTTGGGCTGGGAAAGAAGGGGCAGTGGAATAGGTCACTTAAATAGGTGTTTTCTTAAATCCAGTTGATTGCATATTTGTATACGATGTTCTGCTTTATATAATTGATCAGGTTGCATTAAAGGCTAAAGTAGCATTTGGAGGGTAAAAATGATTAGTTTCTTCTATATTTGTATTCTCTTAATTCTCCGTGATGGTGTTATAGTGTACTTTTACAGTTTTACTAACCTGAAAATTCAAGTATTGTGTAGGTCTGTTCTCGATCACTCTTTTCATAGAGGTTTAATATCTATGATCAGGTTGCATTAAAGGCTAAAGTAGCATTTGGAGGGTAAAAATGATTAGTTTCTTCTATAATTGTATTCTCTTAATACTCCGTGATGGGGTTATAGTGTACTTTTACAGTTTTACTAACCTGAAAATTCAAGTATTGTGTAGGTCTATTCTCGATCACTCTTTTCATAGAGGTTTAATATCTACATGGAGGTCGAACACTGTTAGTGTAAGAAGTTAGATCTGCCATCAACCATCACACTAGCAACCACCACGTAACAGGGTTGACCTGTGCACCTAACCACAAGGTATCACATCGGCTTTTTAAATGCTTTTGAACATGTTGCTCCGCACTCTTTCAATATAAATAGAATACTCCATTAGCTTTATTAGGGATTTCAATTTCATTTATCTAACAATTTACCGACTAGAACAGAGTATATCCCTAGCTCGAAGATATTCACATCAAGCATTGTTTGGAATAAGGGAAGGTTGAGAAGGATTGGAGTAAGCAGGTAAATTTTTTGGTTTCTTATCTCCCTGTATAAGTTATTATTATTTTTTGTGTTTGTTTTTATCGTTTTCGACCGGGAAGAAGGGGTAGTGGAATAGGTCTCACTTAAGAGGTGTTTTGTTCAATCCAATTGATTATGTATTTGTATTTGATGTTATGCTTTACATACATAATTGATCATGTTGAAGTGAAGGTATAAGTGGTAGGTAAAAATAGAGAGCTTGAGGAACCACAAACTGATAAGAATATAACAGGTAAATGACCTTCTCTCATTAATTCTATATGATTTATGGTTATTGAAAATAAAAATCAACTTGAACATTCCAGACAGTAGAATTTCAGGTTAATGCCGCGGCACCCTAAAGTAGGATTTGGAGGGTAAATATGTTGCAGCCATGAGTCTATGATTGGGGAAGATAGAATCACTAGTTTGTTCCATTTTGTGAGTTGCCCTCTCTTGTGTAGTTATCTTTTTATTGAGTACACTGCAATTTTTTTCCCCCCATTTCAGAGACGAATGAATGCATTTGCTGAAAATAAAGCTCAACAAAGAGGAAAAGTGAAAGGCAAAGTGGACTCATGAAGAGATAAAGCAATAAACTACAATGTTTACAAAGAAATTACCCAATCTTCTGACTGGTAAAGTAATTGATTAATTGGCTCAAGAGAATTGCCTATACACTGTTCCTCTTCATGATTAACTTCTCTATTTGTATTCTCTTACAAATTTATTTAGTCATAATACTTCGTGATGGGGGTTATAGTGCATTATGCACTTTTACTAACCTGAAAATTCAAGTATTTGTAGGTCTGTTCTCGATCACTTCTTGTCACAGAGGTTTAATATCTAGACAAGGAGGTTGAACGTTGTTAGTGTAAGAAGTTAGATCGGCCATCATTCAACCAACCATCACATTAGGAACCAGCACTAAACTGTACTGACCAACTACAACAGAGAATCCCTAGCTTGAGGTTGAGAAGGATTGGGGTAAGCAGTTAAATGTTGTGGTTTCTTATCCTGCTTTATAAGTTATTATTTTTCGGTCACTTAAATATGTGTTTTCTTAAATCCAGTTGATTGCATATTTGAATATGATATTCTGCTTTATATAGTTGATCAGGTTGTATTAAAGGCGGAAGTTGGATTTCGAGGGTAAAAATGTTGCGGCCATTAAGCTATCTATGGTTGGGGGAGGCAGAGTCACTGGTTTGTTCTATTGTGAGTTGCTCTCTCGTGTGGTCAAGTGAAAGATAAAATGGACTCATTGAAAGATGAAGCCATAAACTGCAGTTAAATTACCCACAGGTAAATTAATTGATTAATTGCCCCAGAGAATGCCTATACACTGTTCCTCATCATGATTAGTTTCTTCTATATTTGTATTCTCTTAATACTCCGTGATGGGGTTATAGTGCACTTTTACAGTTTCACTTACCTGTAAATTCAAGTATTGTGTAGGTCTGTTCTCGATCACTCTTTTCACAGAGGTTTAATATCTACATGGAGGTTGAACACTGTTAGTGTAAGAAGTTAGATCTGCCATCAACCATCACACTGGCAACCACCACGTAACAGGGCTGTGACCTGAGCACCTAACCACAAGGTATCACATTGGCTTTTTAAATGCTTTTGAACATGTTGCTCCGCACTCTTCCAATATAAATAGTATACTCCATTCGCTTATTTGGGATTTCAATTTCATTTATCTAACAATTTACCGACTAGAACAGAGTATATCCCTAGCTCGAGGATATTCACATCAAGTATTGTTTGAAATAAGCGAAGGTTGAGAAGGATTGGAGTAAGCAGGTAAATTTTTCGGTTTCTTAACTTTATTTTACCTATTCCACTACCCCTTCTTCCCGGTCCAAAACAAAAACAAACACAGAAAAAATAAAAACTTAAGAGGTGTTTTGTTCAATCCAATTGATTGTGGATTTGTATATGATGTTATGCTTTACATACATAATTGATCAGGTTGATGTGAAGGTTTAAGTGGTAGGTAAAAATAGAAACTGATAAGAATATAACAGGTAAATGACCTTCTCTCATTAATTACCTATGATTAATGGTTATTGAAAATAAATCTCAACTTGAACATTCCAGACAATGGAATTTCAGGTTAATGCCACGGCACCCTAAAGTAGGATTTGGAGGGTAAAAATGTTGCGTCCATGTATCTTTGGTTGGGGGGAGATAGACTGATAGAGTCACTAGTTTGTTCCATTTTGTGAGTTGCTCTCTCTTGTGTGGTTATCTTTTAATTGAGTACACTGCAAATTTTTTTCTCCCCATTTCAGAGACGAATGCATGCATTTGCTGAAAATAAAGCTTCAACAAAGAGGAAAAGTGAAAGGCAAAGTGGACTCATGAAGAGATAAAGCAGTAAACTACAATGTAAAGAAAGAAATTACCCACCTTCTGACTGGTAAAGTAATTGATTAATTGCCCCTATACACTGTTCCTCTTCATGATTAACTTCTCTATTTGTATTCTCTTACAAATTTATTTATTTTTTCATAATACTTCGCGATGGGGTTATAGTGCATTGTGCACTTTTTCTAACCTGAAAATTCAAGTATTGTAGGTCTGTTCTCGATCACTTCTTGTCACAGAGGTTTAATATCTAGACAAGGAGGTTGAACGTTGCTAGTGTAAGAAGTTAGATCGGCCATCATTCAACCAACCATTACATTTGGAACCAGCACTAAACTGTACTGACCAACTACAACAGAGAATCCCTAGCTTGAGGTTGAGAAGGATTGGGGTAAGCAGTTAAATGTTGTGGTTTCTTATCCTGCTTTATAAGTTATTATTTTTCTGTGTTTGTTTTGTTTTGGGCTGGGAAAGAAGGGGCTGTGGAATAGGTCACTTAAATAGGTGTTTTCTTAAATCCAGTTGATTGCATATTTGTATATGATGTTTGCTTTATATAATTGATCAGGTTGTATTAAAGGCTAAAGTAGCATTTGGAGGGTAAAAATGATTAGTTTCTTCTATATTTGTATTCTCTTAATACTCCGTGATGGGGTTATATTGCACTTTTACAGTTTTACTAACCTGAAAGTTCAAGTATTGTGTAGGTTTGTTCTCGATCACTCTTTTCACAGAGGTTTAATATACACATGGAGGTTGAACACCTGTTAGTGTAAGAAGTTAGATCTCAACCATCACACTAGCAACCACCACGTAACAGGGCTGATCTGAGCACCTAACCACATGGTATCACATCGGCTTTTTAAATGCTTTTGAACATTTTGCTCCGCACTCTTCCAATATAAATAGAATACTCCATTAGCTTATTTGGGATTTCAATTTCATTTATCTAACAATTTACCGACTAGAACAGAGTATATCCCTAGCTTGGGGATATTCACATCAAGCATTGTTTGGAATAAGCGAAGGTTGAGAAGGATTGGAGTAAGCAGGTATGTTTTTCGGTTTTTTATCTCCCTTTATAAGTTATTATTTTTTCTGTGTTTGTTTTGTTTTGGACCGGGAAGAAGTGGTAGTGGAATAGGTCACTTAAGAGGTGTGTTCAATCCAATTGATTGTGTATTTGTATATGATGTTTTGCTTTATATAATTGATCAGGTTGTATTAAAGGCTAAGTGGAAGGTGGAAAATAAAGAACTTGAAGAATTGAACAGTGAAACTAATAGGAAATTAACAGGTAAATGACCTTCTCTTATTGGTGCTCTTTGATTATTGAATTTGAACTTCTCTTCGGTAGGATCGTGGCAGTAATCTTTGATGTTTATTGCAGAGTGCCAGATTCTTTGTTCGGTTGCTCTATTAATTACCATTGGTTGTTATTGAAAATAAAAATCAACTCGAACATTCCAGACAATGGAATTTCAGGTTAATGCCGGCACCCTAAAGTAGGAATTGGAGGGTAAAAATGTTGCAGCCATGAATCTATGATTGGGGGGAGACAGAGTCACTAGTTTGTTCCATTTTTTGAGTCACTAATTGAGTACACTGTAATTTTTTTTTCCCCATTTCAGAGATGAATGAATGCATTTGCTGAAAATAAAGCTCAATAAAGAGGAAAAGTGAAAGGCAAAGTGGACTCATGAAGAGATAAAACAATAAACTACAATGTAAAGAAAGAAATTACCCACCCTTCTGACTGGTAAAGTAATTGATTAATTGGCCCAAGAGAATTGCATATACACTGTTCCTCTTCATGATTAACTTCTCTATTTGTATTCTCTTACAAATTTATTTATTTTGTCATAATACTTCGTGATGGGGTTATAGTGCATTGTGCACTTTTACTAACCTGAAAATTCAAGTATTGTAGGTCTGTTATTGATCACTAATTGTCACAGAGTTTTAATATCTAGACAAGGAGGTTGAACGTTGTTAGTGTAAGAAGTTAGATCGGCCATCATTCAACCAACCGTCACATTACGAACCAGCACTAAACTGATCTGACCAACTACAACAGAGAATCCCTAGCGAGGTTGAGAAGGATTGGGGTAAGCAGTTAAATGTTGTGGTTTCTTATCCTGCTTTATAAGTTATTATTTTTCTGTGTTTGTTTTGTTTTGGGCTGGGAAAGAAGGGGCAGTGGAATAGGTCACTAAATAGGTGTTTTCTTAATTCCAGTTGATTGCATATTTGTATATGATATTCTGCTTTATATAATTGATCAGGTTGTATTAAAGGCTAAAGTTGGATTTCGAGGGTGAAAATGTTGCGGCCATTAAGCTATCTATGGTTGGGGGAGGCAGAGTCACTGGTTTGTTCTATTGTGAGTTGCTCTCTGGTGTGGTCAAGTGAAAGATATAGTGGAGTTTTTGAAAGATGAAGCCATAAACTGCAGTATAAAGAAAGAAATTACCCACCTTCTGACAGGTAAAATATTTGATTAATTGCCCAAGAGAATGCCTATACACTGTTCCTCATCATGATTAGTTTCTTCTATATTTGTATTCTATTAATACTCCTCGATGGGGTTATAGTGCACTTCTACAGTTTTACTAACCTGAAAATTCTAGTATTGTGTAGGACTGTTCTCGATCACTCTTTTCACAGAGGTTTAATATCTACATGGAGGTTGAACACTGTTAGTGTGAGAAGTTTGATCTGCCATCAACCATCACACTGGCAACCACCACGTAACAGGGCTGACCTGAGCACCTACCCACAAGTTATCACATTGGCTTTTTAAATGCTTTTGAACATGTTGCTCCGCACTCTTTCAATATAAATAGAATACTCCATTAGCTTTATTAGGGATTTCATTTTCATTTATCTAACAATTTACAGACTAGAACAGAGTATATCCCTAGCTCGAGGATATTCACATCAAGCATTGTTTGGAATAAGGGAAGGTTGAGATAGATTCGAGTAAGCAGGTAAATTTTTCAGTTTCTTATCTTTATAAGTTATTATTTTTTCTGTGTTTGTTTTTTTTTGGACCGGGAAGAAGTGGTAGTGGAATTGGTCAGTTAATAGGTGTTTTGTTCAATCCAATTGATTGTGGGTTTGTATATGATTTTATTCTTTGCATACATAATTGATCAGGTTGAAGTGAAGGTTTAAGTGGTAGGTAAAAATAGAAACTGATAAGAATATAACAGGTAAATGACCTTCTCTCATTAATTCTCTATGATTAATGGTTATTGAAAATAAAAATCAACTTGAACATTCCAGACAATGGAATTTCAGGTTAATGCCGCGGCACCCTAAATTAGGATTTGGAGGGTAAAAATGTTGCGTCCATGAAGGGGAGATAGAGTCACAAGTTTGTTCCATTTTGTGAGTTGCTCTCTTGTGTGGTTATCTTTTAATTGAGTACACTGCAATTTTTTTTTCTCCCCATTTCAGAGAAGAATGGTTGCATTTGCTGAAAAATAAAGCTCAACAGAGAGGAAAAGTGAAATGCAAAGTGTACTCATGAAGAGATAAAGCAATAAACTACAATGTATAGAAAGAAATTACCCACTTTCTGACTGGTAAAGTAATTGATTAATTGGCCCAAGAGAATTGCCTATACGCTGTTCCTCTTCATGACTAACTTCTATATTTGTATTCTCTTACAAATTTATTTATTTTTTCATAATACTTCGTGATGGGGGTTATAGTGCACTGTGTGCACTTTTTCTAACCTAAAAATTCAAGTATTGTTGGCCTGTTCTCGATCACTTATTGTCACAGAGGTTTTCTATCTAGACAAGGAGGTTGAACGTTGCTAGTGTAAGAAGTTCGATTGGCCATCATTCAACCAACCATTACATTTGGAACCAGCACTAAACTGTTCTGACCAACTACAACAGAGAATCCCTAGTTTGAGGTTGAGAAGGATTGGGGTAAGCAGTTAAATGTTGTGGTTTCTTATCCTGCTTTATATAAGTTATTACTTTTCTGTGTTTGTTTTGTTTTGGGCTGGGAAAGAAGGGGCAGTGGAATAGGTCACTTAAATAGGTGTTTTCTTAAACCCAGTCGATTGCATATTTGTATATGATGTTCTGCTTTATATATGATGTTCTGCTTTATATGATGTTCTGCTTTATATAATTGATGGGTTGTATTAAAGGCTAAAGTAGCATTTGGAGGAGAAAAATTATTGGATTCTTCAATATTTGTATTCTCTTAATACTCCGTGATGGGGTTATTGTGTAGTTTTACAGTTTTACTAACCTGAAAATTCAAGTATTGTGTAGGTCTGTTCTCGATCACTCTTTTCACAGAGGTTTTATATCTACATGGAGGTTGAACACTGTTAGTGTAAGAAGTTAGATCTGCCATCAACCATCACACTAGCTACCACCACGTAACAGGGCTGACCTGAGCGCCTAACCACAAGGTATCACATCGGCTTTTTAAATGCTTTTGAACATGTTGCTCCGCACTCTTCCAATATAAATAGAATACTCCATTAGCTTTATTAGGGATTTCAATTTCATTTATCTAACAATTTACCCACTTGAACAGAGTATATCCCCCTAGCTAGCTCGAGGATATTCACATCAAGCATTGTTTGGAATAAGGGAAGGTTGAGAAGGATTGGAGTAAGCAGGTCAATTTTTCGGTTGGGAGATAGAGTCACTAGTTTGTTCCATTTTGTGAGTTGCTCTCTCTTGTGTGGTTATCTTTTAATTGAGTACACAGTAATTTTTTTTTCCCCATTTCAGAGACGAATGAATGCATTTACTGAAAATAAAGCTCAACAAAGAGGAAAAGTGAAAGGCAAAGTGGATTCATGAAGAGATTAAGCAATAAACTACAATGTAAAGAAAGAAATTACCCACCCTTCTGATGACTGGTAATGTAATTATTAATTGGCCCAAAAGAATTGCCTATACACTGTTCCTCTTCATGATTAACTTCTCTATTTGTATTCTCTTACAAATTTATTTATTTTGTCATAATTCTTCGTGGGGATATATAGTGCATTATGCACTTTTACTTACCTGAAAATTGAAGTATTGTAGGTCTATTCTCGATCACTTCTTGTCACAGAGGTTTAATATCTAGAAAGGAGGGTTGATCGTTGTTGGTGTAAGAAGTTAGATCGGCCATCATTCAACCAACCATCACATTTTGAACCAGCACTAAACTATACTGACCAACTACAACAGAGAATCCTTAGCTTGGGGTTGCGAAGGATTGGGGTAAGCAGTTAAATGTTGTGGTTTCTTATCCTGCTTTGTAAGTTATTATTTTTCTGTTTGTTTTGTTTTGGGCTGGGAAAGAAGGGGCAGTGGAATAGGTCACTTAAATTGGTGTTTTCTTAAGTCCAGTTGATTGCATATTTGTATATGAAATTCTGCTTTATATAATTGATCAGGTTGTATTAAAGGCTAAAGTTGGATTTCGAGGGTAAAAATGTTGCGGCCATTAAACTATCTAGGGTTTGGGGAGGCAGAGTCACTGGTTTGTTCTATTGTGAGTTGCTCTCTCGTGTGGTCAAGTGAAAGATAAAGTGGCTCATTGAAAGACGAAGCCACAAATTGCAGTATTAAGAAAGAAATTACCCACCTTCTGACAGGTAAAATAATTGATTAATTGCCCAAGAGAATGCCTATACACCTGTTCCTCATCATGATTAGTTTCTTCTATATTTGTATTCTATTAATACTCCGTGATGGGGTTATAGTGCACTTTTACAGTTTTACTAACCTGAAAATTCAAGTATTGTGTAGGTCTGTTCTCGATCACTCTTTTCACAGAGGTTTAATATCTACAAGGAGGTTGAACACTGTTAGTGTAAGAAGTTAGATCTTCCATCAACCATCACACTGGCAACCACCACGTAACAGGTCTGACCTGAGCACCTAACCACAAGGTATCACATCGGCTTTTTAAATGCTTTTGATCATGTTGCTCCGCACTCTTCCAAAATAAATAGAATACTCCATTAGCTTATTAGGGATTTCAATTTCATTTATCTAACAATTTTCCGACTAGAACGGAGTATATCCCTAGCTCGAGGATATTCACATCAAGCATTGTTTGGAATAAGGGAAGGTTGAGAAGTATTGGAGTAAGCAGGTGAATTTTTTGGTTTCTTATCTCCCTTTATAAGTTATGATTTTTCTTTGTGCTTTTTTTTTTTTTTTTTTTTTTTTTTTTTTGTTTTCGACCGGGTAGAAGGGGTAGTGGAATTTGTCTCACTTAAGAGGTGTTTTGTTCAATCCAATTGAATGTGTATTTGTATATTATGTTATGCTTTACATACATAATTGATCAGGTTGAAGTGAAGGTATAAGTGGTAGGTAATAATAGAGAGCTTGAGTTACTACTAACTGATAAGAATATAACAGGTAACCTTCTCTTATTAATTCTCTATGATTTATGGTTATTGAAAATAAAAATCAACTTGAACATTCCTGACAATGGAATTTCAGGTTAATGCCGCGGCACCCTAAAGTAGGATTTGGAGGGTAAAAATGTTGCGGCCATGAGTCTATGATTGGGGGAGATAGAATCACTAGTTTGTTCCATTTTGTGGGTTGCTCTCTCTTGTGTGGTTATCTTTTAATTGAGTACACTGCAATTTTTTTCTTTCCCCCTCAGAGACGAATGAATGCATTTGCTGAAAATAAAGCTCAACAAAGAGGAAAAGTGACAGGCAAAGTGGACTCATGAAGAGATAAAGCAATAAACTACAATGTAAAGAGAGAAATTACCCACCTTCTGACTGGTAAAGTAATTGTTTAATTGGCCCAAGAGAATTGCCTATGCACTGTTCATCTTCATGATTAACTTTTCTATTTGTATTCTCTTTCAAATTTATTTATTTCGTCATAATACTTCGTGATGGGGGTTATAGTGCATTGTGCACTTTTACTAACCTGAAAATTCAAGTATTGTAGGTCTGTTGTCAATCACTTCTTGTCACAGAGGTTTAATATCTAGACAAGGAGGTTGAACGTTGTTAGTGTAAGAAGTTAGATCGGCCATCATTCAACCAACCATCACATTAGGAGCCAGCACTAAACTGTACTGACCAACTACAACAGAGAATCCCTAGCTTGAGGTTGAGAAGGATTGGGGTAAGCAGTTAAATGTTGTGGTTTCTTATCCTGCTTTATAAGTTATTATTTTTCTGTGTTTGTTTTGTTTTGGGCTGGGAAAGAAGGGGCAGTGTAATAGGTCACTTAAATAGGTGTTTTCTTAAATCCAGTTGATTGCATATTTGTATATGATGTTCTGCTTTATATAATTGATCTTGTTGTATTAAAGGCTAAAGTTGGATTTGGAGGATAAAAATGATTAGTTTCTTCTATATTTGTATTCTCTTAATACTCCGTGATATAGGGTTATAGTGCACTTTTACAGTTTTACTAACCTGAAAATTCAAGTATTGTGTAGGTTTGTTCTCGATCACTCTTTTCACTGAGGTTTTATATCCACATGGAGGTTGAACACTGTTAGTGTAAGAAGTTAGATCTCAACCATCACACTAGCAACCACCACATAACAGGGCTGACCTGAGCACCTAACCAGAAGGCATCACTTCGGCGTTTTAAATGCTTTTGAACATGTTGCTCCGCACTCTTCCAATATAAATAGAATACTCCATTAGCTTTATTTGGGATTTCAATTTCATTTATCTAACAATTTACCAACTTGAACATAGTATATCCCTAGCTCCAGGATATTCACATCAAGCATTGTTTGGAATAAGCGAAGGTTGAGAAGGATTGGAGTAAGCAGGTATTTATTTTTCGGTTTTCTTATCTACCTTTATAAGTTATTATTTTTTCTGTGTTTGTTTTGTTTTGGACCGGGATGAAGTGGTAGTGGAATAGGTCACTTAAGAGGTGTGTTTCAATCCAATTGATTGTGTATTTGTATATGATGTTTTGCTTTACTTTCATAATTGATGAGGTTGAAGTGAAGGTTAAGTGGGAGGTAAAAATAGAGAGCTTGAGTAATTACAATCTGATATAGAATACAACAGGTAAATGACCTTCTCTCATTAATTCTTTATGATTAATGAATTTGAACTTCTATTCGGTAAGAAGATGATAGTAGTAATCTTTGATGATTGTTGTATATGGCTAGATTCTATTAATTACCATTGGTTGTTATTGAAAATAATAATAATCATCAACATGAACATTCCATACACTTATATTTTTTAAATTCTTTTTATTTTCAGTGGAGTGTTTTCGACGTATTTAGTATGTTTTCGAGTGTTCTTGTGTAGTTTTTGGTTCTTTCTCTTCATGTTTTCTTTGCATTTTTGTGCTATTTTTGATTTGTTATGTTTGTGACTTGTTTTTGTACATTGCGTTTTCTTTGAATGTGTTCCTGAATGGCTTGTTTTTTACCATGCATTAATTTTCCCCTGTTACTGTTCATCTTTTTAGCGTTCTTTCGGCGTATTTTTTGTTTGAATTGTGTAGTTCTATAAATCGTTTTATAATTAAATATTTATATTATGTTTTTTTTTTTTAATTTATAGCATTTTTAAGTGTTCTTGTGTAGTTTTGCGTTATTTTTACTTTGTTATATTTGTCTATTGTGTTTTGCTTTGAATGTGTTCTTGAATGTCTTGGAGTTCTTTTCGCTTTGTTATATTTTTGCATTTGTTGTTTTTTTCCCATGCATAAATTTCCTCTTTTTACAGCTCATTTTGTTCGTTTGCGTTCTTTTGGCATATTTTTAGTTTGAAATGTGTATTTCCAATGATCATTTTACTAAGAGTTTCTATGATGTATTTAGTTGTTTTTCTTAGTTTGTAGCATTTTTCAAGTGTTCTTGTGTACTTTTCGGTTCTTTTTCTTTATGTTTTCCTTGCATTTTTGTGCTGTTTTTGCTTTGTTATATTTGTGACTTGTTTTTGTTCATTGGGCTTTTCTTAGAATGTGTTTCTGAATGTCTTGGGAGTTCTTTTTGTTTCCTTATATTTGTGTGTTTTTTGTTTGCGTTAATTTCCTCCTTTTACTGTTCATTTCGTGTGCGTTTTCCTTTGTTATATTTGTCTGTTGCGTTTTGCTTTGAATGTGTTCTTGAATGTCTTGGAGTTCTTTTCGCTTTGTTATATTTTTGCATTTTTTGTTTTTTCCCATGCATAAATTTCCTCTTTTTATCGCTCATTTTTTCGTTTGCGTTCTTTTGGCATATTTGTAGTTTGAAATGTGTATTTCCAATGATCATTTTACTAAGAGTATCTATGATGTATTTAGTTGTTTTCATTAGTTTATAGTATTTTCTAATTGTTCTTGTGTAGTTTTTGTTTACTGTTCATTTTGTTTTTGTTATGACGTATTTAGTGCGTTTTCCTTTATTTATAGCATTTTTCAAGTGTTCTTGTGTAGTTTTGGGGTGATATTTTTGCTTCGTTATCTTTGTCCATGACGTTTTGCTTGTTCTTGTGTAGTTTTTGGTTCTTTCTCTTTATGTTTACTGTTCATTTTGTTTTTGTTATAACGTATTTAGTGCTTTTTCTTTTATTTATAACATTTTTCAAGCGTTCTTGTGTAGTTTTAGGTGATATTTTTGCTTCGTTATCTTTGTCCATGACGTTTTGCTTTGAATGTGTTCCTTGGAAGTTATTTTTACTTCGTTATGTTTGTGTATTTTTTGTTTTTCTTTTTTTTTTTCCATGGATTAATATCTTTTTTTTACCGCTCATATTTTTTGTTGTTAGCGTTTCTTTGGCGTATTTTTTTTAGTTTGAATTGCGCATTTCTAAAGATCATTTTTAATTAGGAATTGTGAATTCTTTTATTTTATAAGCAGTATTTTTGACGTATTTAGTATGTTTTCTTTAATTTATAGCATTTTTCAAGTGTTCTTGTGTAGTTTTTGGTTCCTTGCATTTTTTGGGTGATTTTTGTTTTGATATATTTGAAGCCTTTTGTTTTTGTCCGTTGTGTTTTTCATTCAATGTGTTCTTGAATTTCTTGGGAGTTCTCTTTATTTTGTTAAAATTTGTGTGTATTTTTTGAATGTGTTCCTGGATGTCTTGGAGTTCTTTTCGTTTCATTTTATTTGTGTTTTTTTTTCAATGTGTTTATTTTCCAAGGAGAGTATTTTTGAAATATTTAGTTTGTTTCTCTTAATTTATAGCATTTTTTGAGTGTTATTGTGTAAATTTTTATTTTTTCTGTATTTTTTTCATGCATTTATGGGTTATTCTCGCTTCATTATATTTGTGCTTTTGATTTTGTTCGTTCTGTTTTTCTTTGAGTGTGTTCTTGGATGTCTTGGAGTTCTCTTTGTTTAGTTATTTTGTGTGTATTTTTTGAATGTGTTCCTGGATGTCTAGGAGTTCTTTTCGTTTCATTATATTTGTGTTTTTTTTTCAATGTGTTTATTTTCAAAGGAATTTTTTAAAAATATTTAGTTTGTTTCTCTTAACTTATACCATTTTTTGAGTGTTATTGTGTAGTTTTTGATTTTTTCTTTATGTCTTTCTTGCATTTATGGGTTATTCTCGTTTCATTATATTTGTGCTTTTGATTTTGTTCGTTCTGTTTTTCTTTGAATGTGTTCCTAGATGTCTTGGAGTTCTCTTTGTTTGGTTATATTTGTGTGTATTTTTTGATTGTGTTCCTGGATGTCTTGGAGTTCTTTTCGTTTCATTATATTTGTGTTTTTTTTTTTTTTCTAATGTGTTTATTTTCTAAGGAGTATTTTTGAAAATTTAGTTTGTTTCTCTTAATTTATTGCATTTTTCGAGTGTGATTGTGTAGTTTTTTATTTTCTCTTTATTTCTTTCATGCATTTATGGGTTATTCTTACTTCATTATATTTGTGCTTTTGTTTTTGTTCATTCCGTTTTTCTTTGAATGTGTTCTTGGATGTCTTGGAGTTCTTTTCGTTTTGTTATATTTGTGTGTTTTTTCCTCACGTATTAATTTTTCCTTTTTACCCACCATCTGACTGGTAAAGTAATTGATTAATTGCCCCTATACACTGTTCCTCTTCATGATTAACTTCTCTATTTGTATTCTCTTACAAGTTTATTTATTTTTTCATAAATACTTCGCGATGGGGTTATAGTGCATTGTGCACTTTTTCGAACCTGAAAATTCAAGTATTGTAGGTCTGTTCTCGATCACTTCTTTTCACAGAGGTTTAATATCTAGACAAGGAGGTTGAACGTTGCTAGTGTAAGAAGTTAGGTCGGCCATCATTCAACCAACCATTACATTTGGAACCAGCACTAAACTGTACTGACCAACTACAACAGAGAATCCCTAGCTTGAGGTTGAGAAGGATTGGGGTAAGCAGTTAAATGCTGTGGTTTCTTATCCTGCTTTATAAGTTATTATTTTTGTGTGTTTGTTTTGTTTTGGGCTGGGAAAGAAGGGGCAGTGGAATAGGTCACTTAAATAGGTGTTTTCTTAAATCCAGTTGATTGCATATTTGTATATGATATTTGCTTTATATAATTGATCATGTTGTATTAAAGGCTAAAGTAGCATTTGGAGGGTAAAAATGATTAGTTTCTTCTATATTTGTATTGTCTTAATACTCCGTGATGGGGTTATATTGCACTTTTACAGTTTTACTAAGTTATTATTTTTGTGTGTTTGTTTTGTTTTGGGCTGGGAAAGAAGGGGCAGTGGAATAGGTCACTTAAATAGGTGTTTTCTTAAATCCAGTTGATTGCATATTTGTATATGATATTTGCTTTATATAATTGATCATGTTGTATTAAAGGCTAAAGTAGCATTTGGAGGGTAAAAATAGAGAGCTTGAGGAATTACAATCTGATATAGAATACAATAGGTAAATGACCTTCTCTCATTAATTCTCTATGATTAATGAATTAGAACTTCTATTCGGTAAGAAGATCATGGTAATAATCTTTGATGTTTGTTGTATAAGGCTAGATTCTATTAATTACCATTGGTTGTTATTGTAAATAATAATAATCATCAACATGAACATTCCATACACTTTTATTTTTTAAATACTTTTTATTTTCAATGGAGTGTTTTTGACGTATTTTGTATGTTTCTTGTGTAGTTTTTGGTTCTTTCTCTTTATGGTTCTCTTTGCATTTTTGTGCTATTTTCGATTTGTTATGTTTGTGACTTGTTTTGTCTATTGTCTTTTTCTTTGAATGTGTTCCTTAATGTCTTGCTTTTTACCATGCATTAGTTTCCCCCTTTTACTGTTCATTTTTTTTTTGCATTCTTTCGGCGTATTTTTTGTTTGAATTGTGTAGTTCTATAAATCGTTTTATAATTAAATATTTATATTATATGTTATTTTCAAGTGTTCTTGTGTAGTTTCGTGTTATTTTTACTTTGTTATATTTGTCTGTTGAGTTTTTCTTTGAATGTGTTTTTGAATGTCTTGGAGTTCTTTTCGCTTTGTTATATTTTTGCATTTTTTGTTTTTTCCCATGCATAATCATTTTGTTCGATTGCGTTCTTTTGGCATACTTTTAGTTTGAAATGCGTATTTCCAATGATCATTTTACTAAGAATTTCTATGATGTATTTAGTTATTTTCCTTGGTTTATAGCATTTTTCAAGTGTTCTTGTATAGTTTTTGGTTCTTTCTCTTTATGTTTTTCTTGCATTTTTGTGCTGTTTTTGCTTTGTTATATTTGTGACTTGTTTTTGTCTAATGTGTTTCTGAATGTCTTGGGAGTTCTTTTCGTTTCGTTATATTTGTGTGTTTTTTGTTTGCATTAATTTCCTGCTTTTACTGTTCATTTTGTGTGCGTTTTCCTTTATTTATAGCCCTTTTCAAGTGTTCTTGTGTAGTTTTGGGTGATATTTTTGCTTCATTATCTTTGTCCATGACGTTTTGCTTTGAATGTGTACTTTGTAAGTTATTTTCGCTTCGTTATGTTTTGTGTATTTTTTTTTTCATGCATTAATTTCCCTTTTTTTACCGTTCATATTTTTTGTTGTTAGCGTTCTTTTGACGTATTTTTAGTTTGAATTACGCATTTCTAAAGATAATTTTTATTAGGAATAGTGAATTCTTTTATTTTATAAGCACAGTATTTTTGACGTATTTAGTATGTTTTTTTAATTTATAGCATTTTTCAAGTGTTTTTGTGTAGTTTTTGATTCTTTGCATTTTTTGGGTGATTTTCGTTTTGATATATTTGAAGCCTTTTGTTTTTGTCCGTTGTGTTTTTCATTCAATGTGTTCTTGAATTTCTTGGTAGTTCTCTTTATTTTGTTAAAATTTGTGTGTATTTTTTGAATGTGTTCCTGGATGTTTTGGAGTTCTTTTAGTTTGAATTGCGCATTTCTAAAGATAATTTTTATTAGGAATAGTGAATTCTTTTATTTTATAAGCACTAAAGCACAGTATTTTTGACGTATTTAGTATGTTTTCTTTAATTTATAGCATTTTTCAAGTGTTTTTGTGTAGTTTTTGATTCCTTGCATTTTTTGGGTGATTTTCGTATTGATATATTTGAATCCTTTTGTTTTTGTCTGTTGTGTTTTTCATTCAATGTGTTCTTGAATTTCTTGGGAGTTCTTTTTGTTTTGTTAAAATTTGTGTGTATTTTTTGAATGTGTTCCTGGATGTCTTGGAGTTCTTTATGTTTTATTATTATTATTATTATTTTATTTATTTATATATATATATATATATATATATATATATATATGTCTTGGAGTTCTTTATGTTTATTATTATTATTATTATTATTATTATTATTATTATTTTATATATATATATATATATATATATATATATATTTTTTTTTTTTCCAATGTGTTTATTTTTCAAGGAGTATTTTTGAAATATTTAGTTTGTTTCTCTTAATTTATAGCATTTTTTGAGTGTTATTGTGTAGTTTTTGATTTTCTCTTTATGTCTTTCATGTATTTATGGGGTATTCTCGCTTCATTATATTTGTGCTTATGATTTTGTTCGTTCTGTTTTTCTTTGAATGTGTTCCTGGATGTCTTGGAATTCTCTTTGTTTGGATACAAATTTTTTGAATATGTTCCTGGATGTCTCTTTTCGTTTCATTATATTTGTGTTTTTTTTTTCCAATATGTTTATTTTCTAAGGAATATTTTGAAATATTTAGTTTGTTTCTCTTAATTTATTGCATTTTTCAAGTGTTATATTGTATAGTTTTTTATTTTCTCTTTATTTCTTTCATGCATTTATGGGTTATTCTCGCTTCATTATATTTGTGCTTTTGTTTTTGTTCGTTCTGTTTTTCTTTGAATGTGTTCCTGGATGTCTTGGAGTTCTCTTTGTTTGGTTATATTTGTGTGTATTTTTTGAATGTGTTCCCGGATGTCTTGGAGTTCTTTTCGTTTCATTATATTTGTGTTTTTTTTCCAATGTGTTTATTTTTTAAGGAGTACTTTTGAAATATTTAGTATGTTTCTCTTAATTTATAGCATTCTTCGAGTGTGATTTTGTAGTTTTTTATTTTCTCTTTATTTCTTTCATGCATTTATGGGTTATTCTCGCTTCATTATATTTGTGTTTTTGTTTTTGTTCGTTCTGTTTTTCTTTGAATGTATTCCTCGTTTTGTTATATTTGTGTGTTTTTTTCTCATGTATTAATTTTTCCTTTTTACCGTTCATTGTTTTTGTTAGCGTTCTTTTGTCATATTTTTTGTTTGAATTGGGCAAATGTCGTTTTGAAATTCAGTAAATATGTTTTAAAGGTGTTTTCATTAGGAATAGTGAATTCTTTTATTTTCTAAGGATTAATTTCAACGTTGTTCATTGTTTTTGTTAGCGTTCTTTCGGCATATTTTTTGTTTGAATTGGGTAGTTCCAAATATTGTTTTGAAATTCAGTGAATAACTTTTAAAGGTATTTTCATTAGTAAATAAGGAATAATCTTTATTTACTAAGGATTAATTTCGATCTTGTTAGTCTGTTTTTCTTAATTTATAGCACTTTTTGAGTGTTCTTGTGTAATTTTGGTTTATTTTCTTTTCGTTGTTTTTGTCCGGTTAAGTATGATTTGGAGGGTAAAAATGTTGCAGCCATGAATCTATGATTGGGGGAGAACAATCGCTGATTTTTATTCTGTTGTAAGTTGCTCTCTCTCTTGTGTGGTTATCTTTTAATTGAGTACACTGCGTGTGGTTATCTTTTAATTGAGTACACTGCAATTTTTTTTCCATTTCAGAGACAAATGAATGTATTTGCTGAAAATAAAGCTCAACAAAAGAGGAAAAGTGAAAGGTAAAGTGGACTCATTGAAAGATGAAGCCATAACTGCAGTGTAAAGAAAGAAATTACCCACCTTCTGACAGGTAAAATAATTGAGAATGCCTATAGTGGTTCCTCTTCATGATTAGTTTCTTTTATATTTGTATTCTCTTAATACTCCGTGACGGGGTTATAGTGCAATTTTACAGTTTTACTAACCTCAAAATTCAAGTATTGCAGGCCTTTTCTCAAGTTCACTCTTAGTGTAAGAAGTTAGATCCGCTATCAACCATCACATTAGCAACCACCACGTAACAGGACTGGGCTAGACACCTAACCACAAGGTACCACACCGGCTTTGTGAATGCTTTTTGACATGCTCTCCACTCTTCCAATATAAATAGAATACTTCATTAGAGCTTATTAGGAATTTCAATTTCATTTATCTAACAATTTACCGACTAGAACAGAGTATCCGTAGCTCGAGGATATTCACATCAAGCATTGTTTGGAATAAGGGAAGGTTGAGAAGGATGGGAGTAAGCAGGTAAATTTTTCGATTTCTTATCGCCCTTTCTAAGTTTTTATTTTTTCTGTGTTTGTTTTGTTTTGGACTGGGAATAAGGGGTAGTGGAATAGGTGACTTAACGGGGGTTTTCTTCAATCCAATTGATTGTGTATTTGTAGTGGAATAGGTGACTTAAAGAGGTGTTTTCTTCAATCCAATTGATTGTGTATTTGTATATGATGTTATGCTTTACATCTGTTTTTCTTGTATTTTTGTGCTTGTTATATTTGTTATTTTTGTTTTTGTCCACCGTGTTTTTCTTTGAATGTGTTTATGAATGTTTTGTAGTTCTTTTCATTTCGTTATATTTGTGTGTTTTTTGTTTTTTACCGATGCATTAATTTACCCCTTTTACTGTTCATTTTGTTTTTGTTTGTGTTCTTTCGTCGTATTTTTTGTTTGAATTGTGTAAATACTTTATAATTTTATAATTCTAGGGTTTAGTGAATTTTGTTTGAATTGTGTAAACCCAATGATCACTTTATAATTTTTGTGAATTCATTTATTTACTAAGGAGTATTGATGATGCATTTAGTTGTTCTTCCTAATTTATATCATTTTTATGTGTTTTGTGTAGTTTTCTTGTTCTTTCTTTTTATGTTTTCTCTGCATTTTGTATTATTTTTGCTTTGTTATATTAGTGACTTTTGTTTTTGTCAATTTCGTTTTTTTTTTTTTTTTAATGTGTTCCTGAGAATGTCTGGGAGTTCTTTTCATTTCGTTATATTTGTGTGTTTTTTTGTTTTTCTTTTTACATTCATTAATTTCCCCCTTTTACTGCTTATTTTGTTTTTGTTAGCGTTATTTTGACATATTTTTTGTTTGAATTGTGTATTTACAAAGATTGTTTTATAATTCAGTATTTATATTTTTAAATAACTTTGAAAGGTATTTTTGAATTGTAAATTATTTTATTTTCTAAGGATGATTTCCCCCGTATTTAGTGCATTTTTATTTATTATGTGTTGTTGCGTAGTTTTGGGTGATATTTTGCTTTCGATGTGTTTATGAATGTTTTAGAGTTCTTTTCGCTTCATTATATTTGTGTATTTTTGTTTTTTCCCATGCATTAATTTTTCTTTTTACTGTGCACATTTTATTGTTAGTATTCTTTTCGCGTATTTTTAGTTTGAATTGCGTATTTTCAAAGATCATTTTATAATTTAGTACTTTTGGCATATCCATGTGTTCATGTGCAGTTTTTGGTTCTTTCTCTTTATGTTTTCCTTTCATTTTTTGGTTATTTTTGTTTTGATATATTTTTTTTTTGTCAATTGTGTTTTTCTTTGAATGTGTTCTTGAATGCCTTGAAGTTCTTTTCGTTTTGTTATATTTGTGTATTCTTTTTTCTTATCCATTAATCCATTAATTTCCATTTATTTTGTTTTTGTTAGCGTTCTTTCGTTTTTTTTTTTGTTTGAATTGTATATATAGATCGTTTTATAATTCAATACGTATATTTATTTTTGATGTATTTAGTATGTTTTCTTTAATTTATAGCATTTTTCAAGTGTTCTTGTGTAGTTTTGAGTTATTTGTGCTTTGTTATATTTGTCCATTGCGTTTTGCTTTGAATGTGTTCCTGAATGTCGGAGTTCTTTTTGCATTTTCTGTTTTTCCCATGCATAAATTCTCTTTTTACCGTTCATTTTGTTTTTTAGCGTTCTTTTGGCACATTTTTACTTTGAATTGTGTATTTCCAATGATCATTTTGTAATTTTACTACTTGTAATTTTTTATAAATAATTTTTAAAGGTATTTTTATTAGGATTAGTGAATTCATTTATTTAATAACGAGTATTTGTGATGTATTTAGTTGTTTTCCTTAATTTATAGCATTTTTCTTGTGTAGTTTTTGGTTCTCTCTCTTTATGTTTTTTCAGCATTTTTGTGCTATTTTGCTTTGTTATATTTGTGACTTTTGTTTTTGTCCATTGCATTTTTCTTTGAATGTGTTCTTGAATGTCTTGGAGTTCTTTTCGTTTTGTTATATTTGTGAGTTTTTTGTTTTTTTTTTTCCATGTGTTAATTTCCCGCTTTTATTATTGTTCATTTTGTTTTTGTTAGGATGTATTTAGTGTGTTTTTCTTTATTTATAGCATTTTTCAAGTGTTCTTATGTAGTTTTGGGTGATATTTTTGCTTCGTTATGTTTGTTCATTACGTTTTGCTTTGAATGTTTTCTTGCATGTTTTTGATTTTTTTTATTTTTTATTTTTGGTTTTGTTATGTTTGTCCATTACAAGTATTTATGATGTATTTAGTTGTTTTCCTTAATTTATAGCATTTTTCAAGTGTTCTTGTGTAGTTTTTGGTTCTCTCTTTATGTTTTTTCTGTCTTTTTGTGCTATTTTTGCTTTGTTATTTTGTGACTTTTGTTTTTGTTCATTGCATTTTTCTTTGAATGTGTTCTTGAATGTCTTGTTATATTTGTGAGTTTTTTGTTTTTTCCATGCATTATTTTCCACCTTTTATTGTTGTCCATTTTGTTTTTGTTAGGATGTATTTAGCGTTATGTTTGTTTTTTCCATGCATTATTTTTCCCCTTTTATTGTTGTCCATTTTGTTTTTGTTAGGATGTATTTAGTACATTTTCTTTTATTTATAGCATTTTTCAAGTGTTCTTGTGTAATTTTGGGTGACATTTTTGCTTCGTTATGTTTGTTTTTTCCATGCATTATTTTCCCCTTTTATTGTTGTCCATTTTGTTTTTGTTAGGATATATTTAGTGCGTTTTCCTTTATTTATAGCATTTTTCAAGTGTTCTTGTATAGTTTTGGGGGTGACATTTTTGCTTCGTTATGTTTGTCTATTACGTTTTGCTTTGAATGTGTTCCAGAATGTTTTTTATTTTTTTTTGCTTTGTTATGTTTGTGTATTTTTGTTTTTTTTTTATGCATTAATTTCCCTTTTTACCGTTCATATTTTGTTGTTAGCATTCTTTTGGCGTATTTTTAGTTTGAATTGTGTATTTCTAAAGATCATTTGTATTAGGAATAGTGAATTCTTTTATTTTATAATGAGTATTTTTGACGTGTTTAGTATGTTTTCTTTTTAATTTATAGCATTTTTTCTAAGTGTTCTTGTGTAGTTTTTAGTTATGCATTTTTTGGGTTATTTTTGTTTTGATATATTTGTGCCTTTTATTTTTTCGTTGTGTTTTTTATTCAATGTGTTCCTGAATTTCTTGGTGTTCATTGTTTTTGTTAATTTCAACGTTGTTCATTGTTTTTGTTAGCGTTCTTTCGGCATATTTTTTGTTTGAATTGGGTAGTTCCAAATATTGTTTTGAAATTCAGTGAATAACTTTTAATGGTATTTTCATGGATTATTTACTAAGGATTAATTTCGATCTTGTTAGTCTGTTTTTCTTAATTTATAGCACTTTTTAAGTGTTCTTGTGTAATTCTGGTTTATTTTCTTTTCGTTGTTTTTTTTCGGTTAATGCTGGCACCCTAAAGTATTATTTGGAGAGGGTAAAAATGTTGCAGCCATGAATCTATGATTGGGGGATAGTAGGTTTTTATTCCGTTGTAAGTTGCTCTCTCTCTCTTGTGTGGTTATCTTTTAATTGAGTACACTGCAATTTTTTTTTTTTTCCATTTCAGAGACAAATGAATGTATTTGCTGAAAATCTCTCAACAAAGAGGAGAAGTGAAAGGTAAAGTGGACTCATTGAAAGATGAAGCCATAACTGCAGTGTAACGAAAGAAATTATACCCACCTTCTGACAGGTAAAATAATTGAGAATGCCTATTGTGGTTCCTCTTCATGATTAGTTTCTTTTATATTTTTATTCTCTTAACACTCCGTGACGGGGTTATAGTGCAATTTTACAGTTTTACTAACCTCAAAATTCAAGTATTGCAGGTCTTTTCTCAGGTTGAACACTGTTAGTGTAAGAAGTTAGATCCGCTATTAACAAACCACCACGTAAGAGGACTGGGCTGAACACCTAACCACAAGGTACCACCTCGGCTTTGTAAATGCTTTTTGACATGTTTCTCTCCACTCTTTCGAATGCCTATAGTGGTTCCTCTTCATGATTAGTTTCTTTTATATTTGTATTCTCTTAATACTCCGTGACGGGGTTATAGTGCAATTTTACAGTTTTACTAACCTCAAAATTCAAGTATTGCAGGTCTTTTCTCAGGTTGAACACTGTTAGTGTAAGAAGTTAGATCCGCTATCAACCATCACATTAGCAAACCACCACGTAAAAGGACTGGCTGAACACCTAACCACAAGGTACCACATTGGCTTTGTAAATGCTTTTCGACATGTTTCTCTCCACTCTTCCGATACAAAAAGAATACTTCACTAACTTATTAGGGATTTCAATTTCATTTATCTAACAATTTACCGACTAGAACAGAGTATCCGTAGCTCGAGGATATTCACATCAAGCATTGTTTGGAATAAGGGAAGGTTGAGAAGGATGGGAGTAAGCAGGTAAATTTTGCCCTTTCTAAGTTTTTATTTTTTCTGTGTTTGTTTTGTTTTGGACTGGGAATAAGGGGTAGTGGAATAGGTGAGTTAAAGAGGTGTTTTCTTCAATCCAATTGATTGTGTATTTGTGTATGATGTTATGCTTTACACACATGTATTTCTTGTATATTTGTGCTATTTTTGCTTTGTTATATTTGTGATTTTTGTTTTTGTCTACTGTGTTTTTCTTTGAATGTGTTCATGAATGTTTTGTATAGTTCTTTTCATTTCGTTATATTTGTGTGTTTTTTGTTTTTTCCCATGCATTAATTTACCGCTTTTACTGTTCGTTTTGTTTTTGTTTGTGTTATTTCGGCATATTTTTTTGAATTGTGTAAATACTTTATAATTTTATAATTTCAGGGTTTAGTGAATTTTGTTTGAATTGTGTAAACCCAATGATCACTTTATAATTTTAGTGAATTCATTTATTTACTGAGTATTGATGATGTATTTAGTTGTTCTTCATAATTCATATCATTTTCAAGTGTTTTGTGTAGTTTTTTTGTTCTTTCTTTTTATGTTTTCTCTGCATTTATGTGCTATTTTTGCTTTGCTATATTAGTGACTTTTGTTTTTGTCCATTTCGTTTTTTTTTAATGTGTTCATGAGAATGTTTTGGAGTTCTTTTCATTTCGTTATATTTGTGTGTGTTTTTGTTTTGTTTTTTTTTTTTAATTCATTAATTTCCTCCTTTTACTACCTATTTTGTTTTTGTTAGCGTTATTTTGGCATATTTTTTGTTTGGGGTTTAGTGAATTTTGTTTGAATTGTGTAAACCCAATAATCACTTTATAATTTTAGTGAATTCATTTATTTACGGAGTATTATTGATGATGTATTTAGTTGTTCTTCATAATTCATATCATTTTCAAGTGTTTTGTGGAGTTTTTTTGTTCTTTCTTTTTATGTTTTCTCTGTATTTATGTGCTATTTTTGCTTTGTTATATTAGTGACTTTTGTTTTTGTCCATTTCGTTTTTTTTTTTAATGTGTTCATGAGAATGTTTTGGAGTTCTTTTCATTTCGTTATATTTGTGTGTTTTGTTGTTTTTCTTTTTTCATTCATTAATTTCCTCCTTTTACTACCAATTTTGTTTTTGTTAGTGTTATTTTGGCATATTTTTTGTTTGAATTGTGTATTTAAAAAGATTGTTTTATAATTCAGTATTTATATTTTAAAATAACTTTGAAAGGTATTTATAGTAGGAATAATAAATTTTTTTATTTTCTAAGGATTATTTTCCACGTATTTAGTGCGTTTTTATTTATTTATAGCATTTTTGGGTGATATTTTGCTTTGGATGTGTTTATGAATGTTTTGAAGTTCTTTTCGCCTTATTATATTTGTGTATTTTTGTTTTTTCTCATGCATTAATTTTTCTTTTTACTGTTCACATTTTATTGTTAGCGTTCTTTTCGCGTATTTTTAGTTTGAATTGCGTACTTCCCAAGATCATTTTATAATTTAGTACTTTTGGCGTATTCATGTGTTCATGTGCAGTTTTTGGTTGTTTCTCTTTATGTTTTCCTTTCATTTGTTGGTTATTTTTGCTTTGATATATTTGTGACTTTTGTTTTTGTGCATTGCATTTTTCTTTGAATGTGTTCTTGGATGTCTTGGAGTTCTTTTCGTTTTGTTATATTTGTGTATTTTTTTTTATTTTTTTCCTATCCATTAATTTCCACCTTTTACTGTTTATTTTGTTTTTGTCAGCTTTCAGCTTCTTTCTTTTTTTTTTTTGAACTGTATAGTTCTATAGATTGTTTTATAATTCAGTACTACTTATATATTTTTTTTTTATGTATTTAGTATGTTTTTTTTAATTTATTGCATTTTTCAAGTGTTCTTGTGTAGTTTTGAGTTATTTTTGCGTTGTTATGTCCATTGCGTTTTGCTTTGAATGTGTTCCTGAATGTTTTGGGATTCTTCTTGCATTTTCTGTTTTTCCCTTGCATAAATTTTCTCTTTTTACCGTTCATTTTGTTTGTTAGCGTTCTTTTGACACATTTTTAGTTTGGATGTGTATTTCCAATGATCATTTTGTAATTTTACTACTTCTAGTTTTTTATAAATAATTTTTAAAGGTATTTCTATTAGGAGTAGTGAATGCATTTATTTAATAACAAGTATTTATGATGTATTTAGTTGTTTTCATTAATTTATAGCATTTTTCAAGTGTTCTTGTGTAGTTTTTGGTTCTCTCACTTTATGTTTTTCTTGCATTTTTGTGTTATTTTTGCTTTGTTATATTTGTGACTTTTGTTTTTGTCCATTGCATTTTTCTTTGAATGTGTTCTTGAATGTCTTGGAGTTCTTTTCATTTTGTTATATTTGTGAGTTTTTTGTTTTTTCCATGCATTAATTTCCCTCTTTTATTGTTGTTCATTTTGTTTTTGTTTTTCTTTGAATGTGTTCTTGAATGTCTTGGAGTTCTTTTCATTTTGTTATATTTGTGAGTTTTTTGTTTTTTCCATGCATTAATTTCCCTCTTTTATTGTTGTTCATTTTGTTTTTGTTAGGATGTATTTCGTGCGTTTTTTTTTATTTATAGCATTTTTCAAGTGTTCTTGTGTAATTTTGGGTGACATTTTTGCTTCGTTATGTTTGTCCATTTCGTTTTGCTTTGAATGTTTTTTATTTATTTTTTTTGCTTATGTTTGTGTATTTTTGTTTTTTTCCCATGCATTAATTTCCCTTTTTACTGTTCATATTTTGTTGTTAGCATTCTTTTGGCGTATTTTTAATTTGAGTTGCGTATTTTTAAAGATCATTTGTATTAGGAATAGTGAATTCTTTTATTTTATAAGTATTTTTTACGTGTTTAGTATGTTTTCTTTTTAATTTATAGCATTTTTTCAAGTGTTGTGTAGTTTTTAGTTATGTATTTTTTGGGTTATTTTCGTTTTGATATATTTTTGTCTTTTTATTTTGCGTTGTGTTTTTTATTCAATGTGTTCCTGAATGTCTTGGGAGTTCTTTTCATTTTGTTATATATGTGTTTTTTTCAATGTATTTTTATTTTCTAAGGAGTATATTCGAAATATTAAGTTTGGTTTTCTTAATTTATAGCATTTTTCGAGTGTTATTGTGTAGTTTTTGATTTTCTCTTTATGTTTTTCATGCATTTATGGGTTATTCTCAATTTAATTATTTGTGCTTTTGATTTTGTTTGTTTTGTTTTCTTTGAATGTGTATTCTTGAATATATTGGAGTTCTTATAGTTGTGTGTTTTTTCTCCATGTATTAATTTACCTTTTTACCGTTCATTGTTTTTGTTTGCGTTCTTTTGACATATTTTTTATTTGAATTGGGTAGTTCCAAATATCGTTTTGAAATTCAATAAATAACTATTAAACGTATTTCCATTAGGAATATTGAATTCTTTTATTTTCTAAGGATTAATTTCGACATTGTTAGTCTGTTTTCTTTAATTTATAGCACTTTTCAAGTGTACTTGTGTAGTAGCGTTTCTCTTTTAATGTGTTCCTGGAATATCTTGGAGTTCTTTTTGTTTTGTTATGTGTATTTTTTATTTTTCCCATGCATTAATTACCCCTTTTTACCGTTTTTTTTTTTTTGTTAGCTTTCTTTTTGCATATTTTTAGTTTGAATTATGTTTTTTCAAAGATCATTTTATAATTTAGTACTTGTAAATTTTAAAGGTATTTTTATTAGGAATAGTGAATTCTTTTTATTTTCTGAGAAAAATTTTCGACGTATTTAGTCTGTTATTCTTAATTTTCCTTAATTACCGAATGAGTTTTCATTCATCATTAGGGTTGGTTTCTTATTCCTTTGCAGTTTATGTTTTACTATTTCTATGTTTTTTGGCGTTCTCTCCATCTCAAACACCTTTCCCGCGCCAATCCGCCTTTTGCCGGAAATGGGCCACATTTTAGGACGTTGAATTTCAGGTTAATGCCGGCACTCTAAAGTAGGATTTGGAGTGTAAAAATGTTGCAGCGATGAATCTATGATTGGGGGAGACAGAGTCACTGGTTTATTCCTTTGTGAGTTGCTCTCTCTTATGTGGTTATCTTTTAATTGAGTACACTGCAATTTTTTTTCCATTTCAGAGATGAATGAATGCGTTTGCTGAAAATAAAGCTCAACAAAGAGGAATGCACTTTTACAATTTTACTAACCTGAAAATTCAAGTGTTGTAGGTTTGTTCTTCATCACTCTTTTCACAGAGGCTTAATATCAAGGCAAGGAGGATCAGCCATCAACCATCACATTAGCAACACGCCTAACCACAAGGTATCACATCAGGTTTGTAAATGCTTTTCAACATGATATACGCCTAACCACAAGGTATCACATCGGGTTTGTAAATGCTTTTCAACATGATGCTCCCAACTCTTCCAATATAAATAGAATTATCCAGTACCTTATTAGGGATTTCAGTTTCACTTATCTAATAATTTTATTACTAGAACAGAATTCATAGCTCGAGGATATTCAAATCAAGCATTGCTAGGAATAAGGGAAGGTTGAGAAGGATTGCAGTGAGCAGGTAAATTTTTCGGTTTCTGATCTCCCTTTTTAAGTTTTTATTTTTTCTGTGTTTGTTTTGGACTGTGGGAAGAAAGGGGAGGGGAATACATATGATTGTGTATTTGTATATGATGGTATGCTTTACAAATTACATACACATGTTTTCCTTGCATTTTTGTGCTATTTTGCTTTGTTATATTTGTGGTTTTTGTTTTTGTCCATTGCTTTGTTATATGAGTGTGTTCTTGAATGTCTTGGAGTTCTTTTCGTTTCGTTATATTTGTGTGTTTTTTATTTTTTTTTTCCATGCATTAATTTCCTCCTTTTACTGTTCATTTATGTATTTTTTTGTTTGAATTGTGTAGTTATATAGATCGCTTTATAATTTTGTGTAGTTTTGTGTTATTTTTGCTTCATTATATTTGTTCATTACATTTTGATTTGAATGTG